TCCTTCATCAAACCAACCCCAAGCTCCCATGGCCGCCCTCCCATGGCTGCCCCTTCCCCTCCATCCTCACGTCCAAACAGACCCCTCCTCATCGTCCACCCAAACCACCATCGTTGCTGCTTCTTCTCCTTCTCCATGGCAGCTACTGCCCCGTCGTCCATCTTCCTTCAACCAACGAACGTCCAAACGAACCCCATCGACTTCTGCTTCGTCCAGCGAACCACAGTCGCCTCCATCGCCGGCTGAAACCCCAACTGCTCCGTCGACCACCCTTGCTGCTTCTTTGTCTTCATCTTCTTCATCAAGCTCCAGCCAGTCCACTGCTGCTACTTCACCTCAACAGCCTCCCCGTCCGCCATTGAAACCAAATGACCACCCAAGTCAACCCCCTCACCGCCGGACAGAACCCCAAACGAACAACCCCGTCCCGTCGTTACCACCAGCCACAACCACCTGAAACCCCAGCGAGCTCCATCTCTGCATGACCCCCTACGGACTGCCCAATGCCGCCACTGCTGCGTTCTTGCTCGTCGAGCAACCCAGCTCACTCGTCCATCGCCCAACCACGCCGGAAACCACTGACCGTTCGGTCATTTTCAGTGGTGTTCGTGGTCGTCTTCGTCGTCCTGCTTCATCGCCTGAAATCAATCGGAAAACATACAAAACATTTCCTGGCAGATTCGAGTTATTTTGGTTTCAAAGTTTCCGGGCAGATTTGTTTCCGTTCGAGTTTGTCATTGTTCCGATCCGGTTAGTTGGTTTAAGTTTCATTTCTGTCTGTATTTTGTTTGATATTCTCGGATCTGAAATCAGTATATGTNTCATTTCCGGTTAGTTGGTTTAAGTTTCATTTCTGTCCGTATTTTGTTTGATATTCTCGGATCTGAAATCAGTATATGTTTGATTCTTTTCTTGTTCGTTGTTTATCATTTCTTGATTATTTCTTCAGTTTGTTTTTATTCATTTGTTCTTGTTTAGTTTTAATATAGAAGTGTGTTAGTTTAATCACTTGAATCCTTTATCTTGGTTGTAATGTTGTTAGATTTAATTTGAAGTTCAATTGATTATTGAGTTTAGTGATTTGAATCTACTTGTTTGTTATGTTCAATTTGTTACTGTTATTGAATCTGAAAGTATGTTTGTTGTTAAAAATGTTGTTTAGTCAAAATGATTTTAGTTGTTTCTTTATTGTTCATCATATGGTTTGGTTCCCTGAATCCTTAGTCTTTGTTTTGATGATATTTGACATAATCTGAGTTTCTAGCTTAAATTTGTTGATGAAATTTGATTAGGAATTGGTTATAGCTGCTGTATTTTGGTTAATTGATTAGGTGAATTGGTTATAGCTGATGGGGGTAGAATGGTAATTTCAGAGGGGTATTTTTGGAATTGAAAATTTGAACAATTATTTATTTTGAGTGCTTTGTCCACTAAGCACTAATAATATTAAAATAATGTATTAAAATAATATAGTGGGGGGCAAGACATATGTTAGTGGGGAATAATACATTTGTTTAATAAAAGTGGTGGGACAAAACATTAAGTAATGGGATTCAAAAGGGGATGAGGAGAAGATGGTGAGATTTAATTTAAGTGCTTCAAGTTTGGCTATAAATAAAGAAGAGCTTGACACAAGTTAGGGGGGGGGGGGGAATTTNGGGGGGAATTTTCTGAATATTAAGAGAGAATTAGAGAGAATTTTCTGAACATTAAGAGAGAATTGGGATTCTTCGGAACAAAAAAATTTTTTTCTGGAAATCTAAAAAGAGAGTAGTATACACCCGATATACACTCTGAATACAATGGATATACGGGGTCGAAAGAAAGAAAAAAAGAACGGGAGGAAGTTCAAAGATAGAGACTATATACACTCGATATACAGTTAATATACTCTATATATACACTAGAGATACTCTCGATATACACTGGATATACACGGACAACCCCCGAATGGATTCACGATTGGCTGCTGCTGTTGCCCCCGGTTGCTTGCTGATCTCCAATCCTCTTTCCCAACCTTCATTTGGTTTCTTTGCCTTCTAAATCTCGGTCTTGTTAATTAGGTACGTCCTCCTCAAGATATTGTTAGATATGTCTTAATGTTAGTCTGTGATAGATGCAAAGATTTTGCNTGTTACCCCCGGTTGCTTGCTGATCTCCAATCCTCTTTCCCAACCTTCATTTGGTTTCTTTGCCTTCTAAATCTCGGTCTTGTTAATTAGGTACGTCCTCCTCAAGATATTGTTAGATCTGTCTTAATGTTAGTCTGTGATAGATGCAAAGATTTTGCAGCTGTGGTTCTTTGATTTATTCTTGTAAGAAAAGCATTAAATCTTGAGGAAATTTCATAAAAGTTACAGTGATATGTATTGCTTGTTTGTGTTATTTCTTTAAAGTATCAATTTGATTATTAGTTCGTTAGCTGACAAATATCTGGTAACAAATAAAGAAATATCATTAGAGAAGTTAAAATGTCAAACTGNCTTAGATGTACTGTTCAAGGATCTAAATTTTAAGTAGTCTTTTGCTTTAAATTTCATGAAGAAGGTTGATTGATATGTCCAAGATTATTACTCCATATATAAATTGCTTGTGGGATACTAGATTTTTTTTTCTATAAAAAAAATGTGGACGAAAATAAAGGGATGAATTCTTCTTAACGGAGACGGGGGGTATATACTATATACGCTGGATATACATTCTATATACACGGGCATACCACTTCGTCTTCTTCACGAGCCTTCCCCCTCCCTTGAGCTTCTCTCCATTTTTTTTCAAGAAAGAGAGTTTCTTCTTCACAATTTTTCAAGCAGCAAAACTTAACTCCATCTTCCTCATCATATAACTTATCTCCACCAGTTTATTTTGGTGGAAGCTCAAATGGAGTCTGTTCGGTTCCGTTCGAGTTTCCAGCGCCGGTGAAGTTTTCCGGCCATGGTCACTGATATTTGGTTCATTTGTTGATTTGCAAACCTTCAAAAT